GGAAATATCGAAGGAATACCTCAGCATTACTCCAGCCCTGGCCTTGGCATCCAGTCGCATGATTATCCTCGACGAACCTCTCCCTACCCGTATCCCACGACGCTAGACACGAACCCTTCCACGCTACGCGCAACTACTCTAGGAAGCAATGCTTCCGCTCCCCTTTCGGCTCCGATTCTCCCAAACCAACAATATACCTACCCTCCCACGTGGAGCCCGTATGGAGCTATGCAGCACCCGTCACAAGAAATGCATATGCAAGGTCGTTCGATGAGCGGGCAATGGTACCCTGAAGCTGGACAACTAGATCAGGTACAGGAAGAAGTGGGGCCACCAATGAGCTATAGCCACCAGATGTCTCAATTCTATTCGGGACCCTAACTCCTCGGACGTTTCATTATCTGTAATATTCATTCCTCGGAGTTCTAGACGCTTTGGCGGATTTCGACATTAGCGGCGTTGGTGGTATTCACGTCCAGCATCCTACATTCACGTATTTCGCAAATACCGAGTTTCATGGCGCTCTGTTCAAGGTGCAATATGGGGGGTTGGTGGGTGGCAATCCGCGGAACAGGAAAAAAAAGTCGGAACGAATCGGGGGGGGGGGGGGGGTATGGAGGAATCGATAATCAGCTTTGATTGCGGCGTCAGTCATAGCTCTGTAACAACATTCGTCCTCTCTCATACGCTACTAAGGGTGGCGTCCCTTAGTGCCTCTGGCAACCTGGGCTTTGGATATCTGGGTTGAAATTCATTTCCGGCATGACGCCTTCAGTGTCAGTTCTTCCGAGTAATTCCGGGTCTCTTGCGGATTTTTCCAGGCATGTTTGGTTCACTTTGAGCATGTATGTACGAGTAGAAAGAGTATTCAGGGGACCTTTTACTTTGGGGCACGGACCGCGGAGTCGGTCTTCATTTCAAGTTGTAAGATGCAACGCGAAATCGGTCTGCGGAAAATTAATCAATATGCATGCATTCTTGACTTGAAGCCGCTTTCCAATTTCAAGCCGACACTCCAATCACCCTTTCTCCGTACCACACTCAACACTCGTGGCGTTCGTTCCCACGGTTTAACAAAGCCACCTTATGCTCGTTGATGACACTCCGATACTCGCAATGTTTCGTTCATTCGTCATGCGCACCCAGTCTGATGGCTCGTCGGATAATCGACATGATTGTATGACCATGGACAACGCAAATGCGATGTTCCCTCAGCATGGAAATCAGGGGATTAAGCGACTGTATTAAAGTTTTCATGCAAAGACCACCGGGTGAGCATGCAAGCCATCGACGTGTCTCCGAAGGCTTTTTGGCCTCAACCGTTTGATCTCGCCCGGCGACGTTGCGTTGCTCCGACATGTCAAACGTTGCTTCGAGTCCCTGTCTGTTGCGCCTGGAACGGAGCACATATCCTTTTGCGTGCTAGTGGTCGTACCACCCGAGGCAAACCATTGTGTTAAACACACAGCAGGTATGTAGATAGACGACGTGCAGCAGCGTGCATGCTGTGCATGCTGTGCATGCTGCATGTGAATGCACTGCACAAAAAGGCCACAGTCCCATTACGATTCGTGCGCCCATTCATAATATTTAGATCCAATCGATTTTATTTTTTTTCTCTCGGGAATACCGAAAGGTAGATGAATGCACGCCCTCGAACAAAAGACATGTGATGGTAACTACTAATTAATTTAATACATTCAAAGGCATTGTTTCCCATTGTGGCAGTAATGATTACTTGGCCACCACGGCCACCTGGAGGGCATATCTGACGTTTACTGTGGTATCAGGCGAAAGTAGTCACGTAGTGTACAGGGATGAATGGAATCAGGGAAAAGTGTTCAAAGCCATTGCTGAGTAATAAGTATCTTACACTAGTTGAAAAAAACATCGACCTGCTGATTCATCGCACTATGAGCCCCCGATTCGTTCAACCTAAGCGAGTAGGAGCTTTTGATGCCCTAGCCACAACACCGACCATGTACACTATACATATGTATTACCATTGTACTACTTCGCCTCATACTGTACCACGGTAGACTGGCGCCGACCGCTAACGCTTAGCAAGATTTTTGACAGCATTCGGCTCAAACTCCAGCTCCAGCTCCAGCTCCAGCAGGCTACCTTGGACCTACACATACAACCTTGAACCCTCACTCTGCTCTGAGCTCCCCTTATGTACCATACCCATCCGCTTCCTTGCCTCCACGCTGCGAACCTGTTACACATTTTCTATGTATTCGTACATACAGCTCTAATTCCCTCAGCTTATGTGCATAGTGCCTACTGCATCTGCAGCTGCAGCCTCTGATCGGGAAACTCAGCCCCGTCCTGGACCAACCAACCACGATGGAAGGTCGTGCACACACACCGGCATCGGTTAGTCCCTCCCGTCGGGGAGAAGGCAAGGCCCAAGGCCTGGCAGCACAACCGGACGATCGATGCTGGGCATGTCGTATCCTTCTCCCGTGTGTGTCGTTGCCTTGCCTGGCACTGGCTTCAAAGGTTGTCGTGTGCCTGCGTCACCTGTCGATTCGTCCCATCTCCGCGATAATACCGGGCCCGGAAAATTACTTGAATGGTAGATTGACGAGACCGGAACGGGGGGTTTGGGTGTTGTAGTACACGTACACTTACATACTTGCTCCGCGTGTATGCTTCCGCCGGTGTCGATCGCCAAGGAAGCGTTTCGGGACTCAGGGGGGATATCATGAAACACTTTTCTCCAAGGGGGTTGGGTTCCTCTGGGGTGGCATGTATCCGTCTGGGTCTTCCGAATGCAAGGCGCTGTGATATTTTGCTGGGTCACGCTACCTTGCTGGGAACTCTCCGAGATGCGGCGATGACGAATTGTCAGTACCCCAGTTTGCGCTCGCTATGGATGAGAAGGCGATATGGGCTGAACTGCGCTTACGATAACAGAGAAGATAATACAAAGGTAGAAACGAAGGAGTTCGGCGCCAAAGAGGGTTAGAGATCACGCGCTTCTCCGATCATTCCAAGCTTCTTTCGTCAATTCATCGTAGAGCTAATTATCCCACCGACACAGGGCATCTCATCAAACTATCCTTTTCCCTACACTGGAGAGTGATATCTTGAATTTTAGCCATATCCTTTCCTACCAACAAATCCTCTATTCTTAACCTCCAGCTTTCGGCTCTTACTACTCCGCTTTCTCGTACATTTCCCATCCATGCCCCATCCCTCGCTTTGAAACAACCTACCTAGGCTTGACTGTTCAATTCAGCACGAGCGACTGGCGGCAATTCCTTTCCCTTACATGGTGCGCTGTGAAAATTCTCTGGATGCGCTGCTAGTGGGCATGCATGCATGATACTACGCATGGCGTTCGCCTCACAATCGGATTCGTTGGTTGGGCAGGGGGAGGCCATTGTACGGCGTTCCCCATGCATGCATACAGTACCACGAACCTGGCCCTTGAGTTGAACGGAGATGGGAAAGACCCAAGGATAAGTCGGAGAGTTTCATTCTTGACGCCTGCAGCTGCGCCGTCATGTCACAGCATATCACACCTCACACTGCATCCATCCATCTGTCAGTCTGGGGATATAGATCTGCATGACTCTTTTTTCATCAGCTTGTCTTGTTCATGCTTTGGGTTTGACATTGGGAATAAGATGGATAACAACAGCAACAGCAACAGCAACAGCAACAGCAACAGAGAAATGGCGATTTCAACGGTGAATGACGCAATCCAGTGTTTCGTTTTCTTCTTTTCTCCCCTTCTCTCGAACCTGGCTCCACATTCCTATATATAGTAATATGCATGGTTGCGACTGACTGCAAGGACCAGATTAGACATCGTCATTATCAAACCAGGCCTCTCTGCGACGTTATCTGTTTTCACTTCCCGTTCCGCGCCCCCACCATCTATTCCAGATATGTATGTATCGTACCCAGAATCTAGCATGGCATGTCCCAGCCAGCGAGGATCATGGTAGTGGTATACCTCCTATTTTTATCTCAAGACCACCGTCGGAACACGGCGCCAACCAACCATACTGTACATACAGTATACTGCAACTTCAACGACGACCGGGTGTTTTTGGCGTGAGCCATTTTACATACGGGGTAGAGTGAAATCGAGGATCGCGAAGCCGGAATGCTCGGCACGAATAAATGCGTGTGGAGGGCTGCTATGCATGTTCATGCAGTTGTACTGATCATTAATCAATCAACAGGTCATAATCGTCGTCTTCCTTTGCTCTTTGTGGGGCGAGGTTCGATGGCTGGATGCATGTTCCTAGAGGATCGAATATTGGCCGGCCTGCCTCCCTGCCTGCCTGCCTGCCTGCCTGCCTGCCTGCTTGCCATTTATATGAGGCAGCACTGATTACATAATTAATAGTGAGTCCCAGTCCCAAGCCGTACCAGTTCTTCTTGTATGCTCACTGTAATAACAGATAATAACAGGTTTCCCCCCAAACACATTCATTCAATCAACCATTGCTTCAGTAGTAACCAACAGACAGACATCAGTGATATATAATTTACTCGTAAGATCCCGCAGCAGCTTCTTTTGTTATTTTATTATATATGGTTCTTCCATGTTACATGGATATTGTAATACTTCCAATCTCTGTCTGGCTATACTATATATACTTTGCTTTCTTTCCATTATACATCTCTGGGTAAATTGTTTGTTTTTTCCGGGTATATACAACCATCACCCGCCTGAGGCCTTCAAGTGCTAAGAGATGGTTGTTGTTTATCGCTCTCTTGCTATATCTCGCGGCGATGTGATGGCTGTAATTCTTCACTCATAGAAAAAGCTCAAGTTTCATCCAGATACCCGCAGCCTCGCCACCACAGCAACAGCAACGCAGCTTCCACACCAACGACAGTCATGAAAAGAAAGAAAAAAAAGTTGAATCACATAGTACACTGTGTGGTAGACCTGCCGTCACAGACATTCTATCTACGTTCCAGTCTTTCCACACATCCCACAGAAAAAAAGAGCAAAAAGAAAAGGAAGCTTAAGCCCAACGTGGGGCTCGAACCCACAACCTTGAGATTACTTGTTAAGTAAGAGTCTCACGCGCTACCGATTGTGCCAGCCGGGCTGTTGTTGCCAACTTTTGATGGAAGAGACGAGGAAAATATTGGTATATATAGTAAAGGGAACATGTTCACTTTGATGGAACTGCACGACGCATGTGGAGGGCAAAGAAGAGAAGTAACATGTATCTGGGAGCAAGCAGCTGAGAGCAAACAGCCTGCAGAGGCGGTATAGCAATTTTGCAATCAGAGTAAAAAAATTTGCTTCTCCGAAGTGGGTCTAGCAAATTTCCCCCGAGGTCGGCACGAGGAGGAGTCAATGTCTTTTCTTGATCAAAATAAAAATAACGGCAAGAGAGATACTACGTTGAAAAATTATTATCATGTTAGGCTTGTGGTATATTGACTTGAAGATATAAGAATGTAATGCAACGAAGGGTCAATATATTATTTTTCCCAAAAGAGAAATTCCCATTTAAGGTTAGTGCAAAATGAAATGCAGATTTGCAAACACTGCACGATATTATGTACTACAAAGTCGGATCGAACACGTTCGAAAATATTCGTATTCCACAGTCTTACCACATGCAACGTCAAATACCTTTGGCAATGTTCATAGGGATGTGGGGCCTTTTGGACCACGACGTTTCGGTATCGTGATTGCTCAAAACTCTAGGCATCAACAAAGAGAGAGAGAGACACACATCCGAGTAACGTAACGCGATAGACCTACACCATTGTCGTTATAGCAACGGGTGTAGTCGTTATATTGAATGCGTTTCGCGTTACTTGGAGGCTGCACATGCAAAAAACATGGTATAGTTAATAGTTGTTCGCTTCGATTCTGCCTATCTAGGTACGATGTAAATGATACCAATCAGTGAGTGAGTGACTGTAATACGAAAGAAGGTGACTTTGGTAGACTATGGCGGCCGTCTCAACGGCAACTATCTCGCCTTTTGCATCTTTCTCTCACACCTAGCTTGGCCATAGCGAGCCTCCACGGCAGCAATGGCGGCCAATTCTCAATCCCGCCCGAATTTCCTCACCTTCTTCCCCTTGTACCCCTATCAAGGACCAGTATATATGCCTAACGATTTTCGTTGGGCCACCCCATTCCATGTATCCAACCCACTCAACCACCCATTCTCTTCCTGTCCCATTTCAGGCGTGTCATGGATCTTATTGATCACCTTCTAGTGAGTACCCTCGCCACCAACCGCCGCGTCCTATCGCCCTACTCACTCACTGACTACGCCGATGTCGGGAACCTCACCGGAACTGTTGCATCTACGACTGCTGAATGCGCGGCTCAGATTCCTCCGTTCTTCTCACCGTCTTTAACCAGAAAGAAGCCGGTATTTTCGGCTTCAGCGTCGGTGGCTGCATCGCGCAACTCGTCACTGTCACCGTCACCGTCACCGTCGACGTTGCAGCCGCTGGCTGGCATAATCGTCCGAAGACTCGTCGTCGTGAGATCGACTGCAAATCCTAGACTTACGAACGGCATCTAGCAAACCCTCTCCCGAGCGCACAGTGCTCAATTAACCCCACAACTCGCCGCGCCGCCCCAGCTCACACCATCGAAGTTTACTAACTCCCATTCGTTCTTGATCGACGATGAAGTGGTGAAGAGGCCAATGAAATGAAAGAGGAGGAGATGAGCGGAGAGAAAGAACAGCGGCGGTTAGTTGAACCAGGGGGGTACGTACGCAAGATGGAAAGAAGGATGTGAGAGGTATCCAATGGATGCCCAGGCGGGCAGCATTGGAGGAATTTGATGATGTTGGAAGGGGAGTGAGGGAAAAGAAAGAAGAGGGGAGTCGGGAGAGATTGGGTGGTTTGAATATTTCCAGTGCTGGTTGCGAATGGGTGGTGGGGTGGGCAAGTGAATATTTACCTGGCTTGGCTCCGGGGAATAACTTCGACAGTGATGACTTGTGCTAGGATGACTTGGTGGTTCTGACGGTCGATAGATCTATTATGGTAACACAGCAGAGGCTCGAGAAAAGGAAATTGGTCGTTCATCCGGATTCACGACATGGGTTCTTGTGTCAGTATGCGAGGGAGTGGGGAGCAGAGCCTGAGACTTTTCTAACTAGAGAAGGAGAAGGAGAAGGAGCTGAGATGATATGCTATGCGGATGGGGTTACATGCGATGTGGCTGGGGATATGATGTCAGAATTGGGAAAGAGATTGGACGGAAAGGAGGACTTGAAATCAGAAGATGCAAGAGAAAAGGATGCGTTCTGGATAAGACGAACAACATCATCATGGAACGAGCATTGTCATCCGAAACACGAAATAGATGTGGAACTTTACGAGTTGAGAGATGCGTCGCCCTCGCAAATGAACTTTGTTGCCAGACATAAAGATGGTGATATATTACATTTCCCCAAGCTGCCTGCCTAGACACGTTGATCTTCTCCAGATATATGCGCTGCTCGATTTGTTGCAATGTAGCATCAAAAAAAAGCCTTGATTTAATGAATCTACAATTCCACGACATCGTCGTACTCGTCCTCGACAAAAGGCGTAAGGCGCTGCTTCAATTCACGAACGCTCATTTCCTCGCCCGTCCAGAACGCTTCCTGTCCAGCCGCATTCTTTGGTGGGATCAGCACGTTGGAGACGACCTGAATGACGCCATCTGATGCGACACCATCGTGAATGGTCACGGAAGAGAAACCATTGATCTTGATGGAAATGAAGGGTCCATATCTAGCAACATCGACAGCCAGGAACTTGTCCGAAAGCGCAGTGGGCAGATCGAAATGGTAGTAAGGTGGTCGGTCAGCTGCAGCCTCGTCCTTGTCGGAGGTAGCGTCAAAGAAGGCGTCCGAGTAGAGAGTCTGGTTGACTACGATGTGGTACTTCAGGAGCGCCTTGAGGTACTTCTCGCCGAACTTGCTGAACAAGAACGCGTTGATCTTGGGACCGAGTTTCTGGAAAGCGAGGTTGGAGGGGGCGAATAGTGTTCCGCCCTCGTGTGGGTAGTCTGTGCTGTTGATTTTATCGAAGAGACCCGTCTTAGTCAGAGCAAGCTCTAGTGTGCTGAACTCTCCGGGAAGAAGGCTAATAATGGTAGCAACGTTGGGAGGTGGGATGAGGATAGAGTCGATGCCGTGGATTACGCCGTTTGTGCCGAAGATGTTTACTGCCACGATTCGGGAGTAGAAGTTGATCGCTGGGCCCTTGAGTGTGACGCGGACGGTAAGACGTTGAGCGTGGCCGAGGAGTTCAGGCTTATGGGAGATAGTTAGTAGAGGTTAAAATCGGAGGTAGACAGGAGACATTTGTAGACTTACAGTGTATAGCGTTGGGATGGTATAGCTGTGGAGCACACGACCAGCAGGATAGAAAGAGTCGCTGACATGGTAGAGCAACAAATCCTTCAAAAACTCCTTGGAGGGTTTGTGTGCGTGTTCTGGGATTTTCTCAAATGCGGCATCTGTTGGAGCAAACACTGTATAGTTCGCCTTCGTACCATTGAGGACCTCGACGAGATCGTCATACTCGTTGATCAGCTTGGCAAGCTTAGTCGTGTACTTGCTCGTGCTAATGAGCTCGTAGACAGTAAGGTTGGACTTTTTGTGACCATGGTGAGGTCCGCGGTGATGTGGGGTCTTGTGGTGTGGAGGGCCGTGATGCGGAGGACCATCATGTGGTGGGTGGTGTGGGTGGTCTACGAAGCTCTCATCGAAAGATGAGCCTTCGAGCCAAGAATCGATATCGCAGCCAGCCTCGTGGACCTTGTGGAAGATGTTATCGGCTACACTCTTGACAGCTTCAGTCGTTTCTCCCAGCGCGTCGTCCAACGCGTTCTTGGTAGAGAGGACCATCTGCCGCCCGGACTTTTCGATGTTTTGGAAGACATGCTCTTCTGTGATGACGAAAGCAGAGGTCAATGATATAAACGGGAGGAGGGTTTGTGTGAACCTCATGTTGGCTTTCGTATCTCTATTCTCACTTCAAGGGAGAATAACTTGTAAAGGTGTAATGAAGACTGAAGACCAAAGATGCGATCAAGAATATACTCTAATTATGAGACAAGCTCAAAAGGCAAACAATCGATGACACGGACACTCAGTAGTGTCGTGGAGACGGGTCGACCGGAAAGACTCGACAAGTTCCATGAAACGCGGACGAAATAAGATGCGATACACCGACGGAGCAGGTTACGCGCGTCGAGACTGTCAGCCTATGTAATACATACTTACAGTACAGCTCGCCATCGATGACGACGGTGACGAATGAGGGGCTATGCTTGGCCATATGTTTCGCCTACATTAGAGGCTATTGTATTTGTGCACGTAGATTTGTCAGATTGTAAATGGAGCCTGTGAAGGGGCTTGGAAACCAGCAAATTTACAATCTATAGTAACCTGTCTAACTATAAATATTTATTACAAGGCAATGTCTATTAACAAGTTTAATAGCTGTTGACATTGACAGCTAATCGCATTACTAAGGTCACGTTATCTGTCTCTTTAACAGCCAAGTATAGAGCTCGCATCGTTCGCTAGCGCTGTTTTTATCAATTAATAATCATCTTTGCTTTCTCAAGTCAGGACCAATTGTAAATTGCTTCTTCGAAAGCAATTAACCTTGTACGTACATGTACAGTAGGCATCATTTGGCCCGGTTTGATCTCTAGAGTTTGAGCACGTGTTGGGCACGAGGCACACATGCAGCTTCCACTGGGACGCACGTGATGTGACACGTGGCCCGTGCATGTGACTCGGAGCGGAACAACCTATCGGAAAGCTGGGACCTCTCCGCATCTTATACTTTCGTCATCGTTCATCCTTCCTGCACAACTCACCGGGCTCCAGACCCCTTACGTATTTACGAACCCACAGGAAATCTACTCGCGCGGTATTCAATTGGTTATGGGTATGGAGCCCGACGTTGTCATTACCTCAAAATATCACAAAACAAGCTTTTTACAAGCACCTTGTCAAGCAATCAAGCATTTTGTTCCCTTTAAGCGCACATGCTATGACCGATGCGTGCATGCAGTGAAATGCAACTTGCTCATGTTTGCGTCACTCATGAGTTGCTT